TTTTTTTTTTTGTCTATTAGTCCCTCAGTCAATGCTTCAAAGCCCAATCATTATTCGCTCCGACCAGATTTCTTTTCTTTTTCTTTGCTTTTCGTACTCGCTGGTCAGACTTTTGATCTCAGCCGTCGATCGTTCATTATTGGAATCCGACGGCCGAGGACCGGAGATGGGATCGAAGTGCGAAATTACGACATAGGGCTTTGAGGTGTTTGATTGGAGGAATTTATTAGGTGGGATAAGCGGAATATTCGGGGGGGCTGTTTGCCATTTTCATTTTATTTTTATTTTATAGTAATTTTTATTTTTGACTGGGCTTTGGCTTTTATTGCTGGTAATAAATTGCGGCTTTAAAAAAAGAGAAAAATGGATTCAATGCCAATATTTGGCTTTTATTGCTGGTAATAAATTGCGGCTTTTTGAAAAATAAAAAATGAATTGAATGCCAATATTTTAATTTCAAACTCAACCTTTAGTTCATTTTGGAGTTAATTCCAAACTTTTAATTATCAGTAAGAATCGATTGCTTTTTAAGGAGATGCTACGGTCGAGTTACAAAATTATTCCGTCGGAATTTGTAATCATTTGATTAATTATCTCCGACAGTTACACGATGATCTAACGGTTACAAATCCAACAAAATAACTTCCGTAACAGCACCGTAACATTTTCCTGCTTTTTATCGTGGTCCGATGTAAATTCAATTGTTGACGGTTGAATATATTAATATTCGCCCTCAATTAAAATGCATGAGTGAGGTGTAAATTTAATATTTTTTTATATATTTCAAATATATTACCAATTGGATCTTCAAGAGTCTTGTATTTTTTAAATTAATATTGTGTTTAAATATTTAATGGAGACAAAAAATATAAGAAGATATGCTGTTGTGTTGTTGAAACTTGCAAAATAAAACACATTGAAAATGGTTTGCATCAAATGTCAACATATGGAAAATCAAAACCTTTTTATCAACAAAAAATATCAGTTCCATATTAACTTATGAACTAACATTAGCTATTAGCTAACTCTGTAATTATATTTAGTTGGAATTAATATGTATAAATATTGCAGTAATTGGGAATTATACGTCTGTTGGTTAGATTCACTGATATTTCTGAAAAAAAAAAAAAAA